AGGCAAAATGTAAGTACTAGCGAGGGACAGGCACTTAGTAGAGACCTCCGCGAAATCGATCAGAAAAAATGTAATCCTGAGTGCCGCATGATTGAGAAGCGAGACAGATATGACGATCTGAGTCCTGACTGAAGTCGACCCATGCAACAAAAGGAGTCTCATGTGCTTGAGCCATATCTTGGGCGTCTGATAAGACACGAGACGAACTAGCGCTGTGAAAAAAAAAGATAAAAATGGCGAGTACTATTGACCTAGAGCAAGGCGCCAACAATCCCCAGAGCAAGTCCACCGTCGACCTCCAACTGAATGGCAGATTCCAACACAGCGCAGCCCATCATCCAAACGAAAGTGCCCGTTCGAAATTTTGCGGCTCGTGGACACACCGTATATGCAATAGCAGTCTTTCCTGATGGGCGACGTATGGTGACGGGCTTGGGAGATAATAGACTTCTTCTGTGGGACTTGCAAGGCGATGATGTAACGCCGAAGAAAATGGAAGGTCATAACGGTTGGGTGTGGACAGTTGCGATATCACGAAACGGAAGATTCATAGCAAGCGGGGATCATAACGGAGAGCTCATCATCTGGAACGGCAACACTGGTGAACCGGTCAAAACCATAAAAGCTCACTCTGCAGCAATTTACTCGGTGGACTTTTCTCAAGACAGCAAAGTACTGGCAACTGGTTCAATGGACAAAGTGACAAAGTTATGGAGCACGCAATCGTGGAAACAGCAAGGAATTCCAATCAATTGCGGTCATTATGTCCATTGCATTCGGTATTCGCCGTCTGGAGAACACCTTGCCATAGCAACATCCGGGGATATCCAAATATGGAGTCCAAGCAGGAGAGAACAAATAAAATCCTTGAAGGCTCACACCGAGTTCAATTCAGCATGGAATTACTCGCTTGTGTGGATGCCCGACGGCAAAAGGTTGCTCTCAGCGGGCTCCAATCCAGATCCCACCATACGGGGGTGGGATACATCGATGTGGGAACAGGTCGGTAGTCCCTGCAGGGGCCTTACTACTAAGGGCATCAACACTCTTGCTGTAAACCCCACTGGAACCCTCGTCGCTTTCACGTCTCATGACCACTATGTCCGCCTCTGGCGGCTCTCGGATTGGCGAATCATCGCCTCATTCAAGCACTCCCACACAGTGTGCTGTGTCATCTTCTCCACGGATGGCAAGCACATTCTCACCGGAGGTCTTGATAAGAAGATCTCACAGTGGGCAGTACCCTCGCTTGATTCCAAGGCATGTTTCCGCCCTTTACTCCTTGTGATTTACTGATGATACTTCCTGCAGGTCATCGATGTCGATTCAACAATCCGCAAGGCATGCATAACTGGAGACTGGGATACCGCTGAAGCGCTGCTGGAACAACAGATAATTGCTGACAGTGACAACGGCGACTACAACACATATGCCAATCTCTCATTAGTTAAGGCGCGAAAACTTGACTGGGATGGTGCACTCCATGATGCACTCAAGGTGAGATAATATTGGACACCCATGACATACTGGAATGCTAACTGTGATGGTAACTTAGTCCGTCACGATTCAGCCCTCCTTGACAGGCTATATCTCCGAGGGCATCGCTCTTTGTGGGAAAGGGCAGATCCAGGGTGCAATAGAAGCATTCGACCTTGCGGCCATGTTCACGGATGGACAATCGAAGACTATTCTTCTCTTAATAAAGGCAGGTCAAAGTTTTCGTCCATATTCCCTGATTCATCACGTTCTCAGGCCATTGCATTGTTCAACGCAGAGCAACCTTCTAAGGCAATCCCACACGTCCACCAGCCACCTGATGCTTCTCCCGATGGTGATACTCCTGCTTATAGTGCCATGGAAGTGAGTATCATGGACTTGATTCAGTACAGTTCTCGGTTGATACTGATTCAGAACCTCGCACAATAGGTTTACCTCGATAGCTTAGGTGACGTGCGTCGCAACGGAGGTGCTGGCGATTTCGCCGTTGCTGTCAATGCCATCGCTGGCTCATCTGAATCCGCAATTTGTTCTGCCATTTCTTCCGGATATGAAGATTTTGCTGTGGTGCGTGAACATGATGTAATTAAAAATGTTGTTTTTGCCCAACTCCGCGATCTGTACAGCTCTTCGGCTGGGACCTCAAGTCAGTGTGGCAGATTGCAAATCAGAAACGTTGCGATGCACTCCGGCAGTCGGGTGGAATTAGAGAAGCCCTCGAATCGTATCGATATATGATGGATATGAGTGACGAAGCTACGAAGGCTAACTGCCTTGCTTGGTCCACTAGTAAGTCTTCATCAATGTTATCGGGCCCAGTTCTCACCTGCATTTTCACTCAGAATTCGAGAAAGCCTGCAGGGACCATTATGCTGCCAAAGGATTTACTGACGTTGCTGCAAGTGGAGATGCCGCGTTCGATGCTCGCAATTACGACGAGGCTATCGAGCTATACTCGGCGGCAATCAACCTGGATTCAGCCAGCGACACCATCTTCACAAATCGCAGTAAGGCGAAATCAGAACAAAGGTTATGGGAAGATGCACTTCTCGATGCGCAAAAGGTGTGGTGACATCTACAGTTGCGTGGTGAATACCCATTCTGGTGATATGTAGGTTGTCCAACAGAGCCCTTTGTCTTATATTGGATACCAGGCGAAGCATGCAGTGCTTCTTGCTGCACAACGCTATGACGAAGCTATCGAAGCCTTCCAAGCCATGCTCTCCAAGTTGAACACTTCTCCCGACACACGACAACAAGGTAAGCCTTGAAAACATAAACCTCCAGATGGTTGACCCTTTCTCCAGAGCTGCGCCAGCAGTATGTCTCTCAACTCCACGCAGAAAAGGTTATCCAAAAAGTCATTTATGATTACATGGAAAACATCCCGACTCGTCTACTGGACACCTCCACTGGTCGCTTATACGATCAAGAGGCACAGACGAATGCCTTCAAGGCGAGCACGGAGTACAAAAAACTTTTGTCATCATCAACGAAGCGCGCGGACCTCCAAACAGAACGCATCCGAAAAGTGGTGGCAAAGTACTTTGCTTACGTTATGCTATCCCATAGGTGGGAAGGGAAGGAGCCGCTGCTGTACAACATCCAGGGCAAGAGCGTGTACGAGTTGAATTCAGTCCACGGCATCGGGAAGTTGCAGCGATTCTGTGAAACTGCTCGCGATAGTGGGTACCGCTGGGCATGGAGCGATACATGCTGCATAGACAAGCAAGATATTAAGGAGCTCCCGACATCCATCACTTCCATGTTTCGCTGGTACCAACGCTCTGCTCTCACGATTGTCTACTTGTCAGATATCTCGCCTTCTGGCGCACTCGCTGAGAGCGCTTGGATTACGCGAGGATGGACACTTCAAGAATTCTTGGCTCCTAACATTATTCTCTTCTACCGAAGCGATTGGACCCCGTATCTCGACCATCACTCTGACAACCACAAGGAGTTTATCATGCAGGAGTTGAAGGATGTCACGGGCATAGATTCACGGTTCTACGTCACCTTCCGTCCTGGAATGAAAGACCCCCGTAAGAAACTCGAATGGGCATCGAAACGTGTCACCAAGGAGCCAGAAGACGTTGCCTACTCATTATTCGGCATCTTCGGCGTCTACCTACCCGTAATCTACGGCGAAGGCAGACAGAATGCGGTCGGGCGGCTCTTGGAGATGATTGTTGCTCAGTCGCGCGACATCAGCGTCCTTGACTGGGTTGGCAAATCATCCGAATACAACAGCTGTCTGCCAGCAGATCTCACGCCGTACGGAGATCCCTTGCTGCCATTTTTGTCTAAAGATGATATTCGGGCATCAATTTCGTCACTGCCAGTTGCTGGGGCTGAGGGGATGGCTTTAGAATTGTATAACAAGCTTAACGGCACGAGCCCCCCCGGTTTCTCGCACGGGCGGTTACATCTGCCTTGCATCGTGTTCGATGTCACCAAATTTAAGCGGAGGGGTGATCAAGATCAAGGGATGTATTTCTATGATGTAGAGGCCAAGGGGCTTTGTGATTTGCTCATCACCACGGGAAAAAAGCTGTTCTCGCGAGCAAAATCCGCCACACCGAAATTCTTGCTCGTCCGCCTCTTGGACCGTCGTCTCCTCGAGCTGCCTGACTTTCTGGATGACACGGAGAGCATAGACGATTCATCCTGTCCCCCGTCCCCGTCAGATTCACATGGCGGGTTTACTGCAGAGCAGGAGTCGATTGATTCGGAATGGAGCGAGAAAGTGATTGCTCGCCTCAAACAGCCGTTTGCGGAACTGTCTAGCTTGGCAGAGCTGTCTGACATTGCTGACGACACTGAGAGCGAGGAAAGTTACTCGTCTGCGCTCGAGTGTCCATTGCAGCATTCGCATGGCGGGTTCCCTGGAGAGCAGGAGTCGGTTGATTCAGAATTGAGCAAGAAAGCGTTGCGATTGATTGCTCACCTCAAACAGCCATTCAGGGCATTTTTGCTAGTGCAGAAATATGGCGAAGAATACACGAGAATCATGTCAGATCGTGACATCATTGCACAAGTCAAAGACACAACTTCTGTTCGCGACATGATGCACTGCGTCAGGACAGTAGAGGTGGTGTAGCTTTGAAGATTTTTTTTTCTTGTACATTGACATTTCAAATTACTTAGAGCTAGTATGGTAGCTGAAGTTCCTGTTGGATTTAGAAAGTACCGGCAACTCGGAGCTCAAGACTGACAAAGTGCGCAGTTTGCAATATTTCGGTTATGTAGAAACCCAACCAAAAGCACTAATATTTTACAGTATATAAGAGTAGTCTACAATTCATGTACATCATGTGTTATCTATGGGTTCCATGTACACCTGAGTTTGGTCATACTTTGATGGATGTGTCTGAGACTTGCAGTAAACTAACAGTTCTGAAGCCAAAAAAAACGATGTGAAAAAAAAAACAGTTCCTGTACCCTAGAAGAGGGTACAGGTCTAGAGAAAAAAATCACTGTCAACGACAATAAATTCAGCGCCGGCGCGCTCGTACAATTTTAAGAGCTATTCCATACATTAATTACTTCCTTTCCATGCCAAGTATCACTCACATGTCCAATTTTCATGGTCCGTTTCACTTTTGGATCAGACCACAGCCCAACCGAGCACACTTCAAGGACTTACCAGATACGAATCTTGAGAAAGACCTTTGAAAATAGACAGGAATATGTCTCTCTGTTGCTCGAGGAAAGTCGATTTCACCAGTGAGGAAGTTTCGGGATCGATGAAGGAGAGAATAAAGAAGAAGTAATAAGTGCGGATGTCTGGTTGATGAGGTTCAGACAGGTATAGATCTACAGATGTTGTGGGGACATACCAGGTCTTGCGAGCGCATCCTCTGTGTCTCCTTTCCCTTTCCTCCTCATATGCGATACTTTTGCCAACGTCTAAAGTTTTTTAAAAAGAAATTCCGATCTGCTAGCGTATGGAAGCTGACGCACCTTCGTGTCCCATGGAAACGCTTCAAAAAGTGTCTTCCGTTCCCTCCCACCTCCGAAGTGAGAGATACTATTCAACAGTTTCAACGAAACGAGAATAAGCTCGTTGGAACCAGAGAGATAAGATGTAATTTTGCGCATCCATTTTGGCGACAAGAGCGTTTTGATAATTGGAATGCCGTGCGAGTGGTATGGGAAATGAGAGGACAGCAGAGCAAGGACAGAGGATAGCAGAGACACGAGGAGTGATAGACTGGACGACTAGTGCATTGCAACGTCAAAACGCTGAGAAAACAAAACAAAAAATAGAATGCACGCACTTGATTCATACCCTCCCATATCTCAAAAATATCATGAGCACCTGAGGAACTCTCCATCCATTGCACAACAAGTGCGAGCCTTTCATCTTGAGGAGCAACAGTCTCTCCTGACTTGATGGACAGAGTCGAGCGCAATGCAGACAGGGCTACATGACTTGGTGAATATTCTTCGCAGTGATGATCATAAGGCTTATGCACCTTCTATTTGAGCATTCTGGTCTTGATTCTGCAGAGCGCGTCTGACATCGATCGCATTTGAGAATTTATACGCCTTCCGCGAGGTTTGCTCAGGTTTTGCACGTTTATGAGGGCGCTCCGATTTGCTTTGAGGCATACTATACTATACTCCTTGGGTCAATAACTCGAGTCCATACCGAAGAAGACGCGCCAAATCTTGAATTTTACTTAAATCACGTGATTATGATCATTCGGTTCTACGTCCTTGCATCGACTGAAGGGTCTGTTTCTTAACCATCCTTCTAATCCTCGAGGCCGAGGACGGCAACGGCCCCCTCTTAGCTCCGATATGTCCTCTCCGCTTTCGCTTTGTTAGTGGTCGTGACTCTGGAGGAAGCTCAAAGCCGCGCCACATCTCCTCTTTTGCGCTCGACAAAATGGGGCCCACCGCCACTTTCCAATCCCAGCCCTCCCTTTTACCCGCTGCAGCTTTCTTAAAAAGGTTTACAAACGTCATTTTTCTCAACAGTCTCACGAGCGGTGCGAGCGAAAGTTCTTGGAATGGTGAGAGAGGTGTAGCTCCCATGAGCATGTCGACAGTGGGGACGGCAGATGTGGGCAATCGCTTGCGACTTGCATGAGCTGTTTCAGACCGGGATGAAGCAGTTGGCTCCCCGAGAGTGAGGAGGTGTGAGACTGTTTCAGGGCCAACGCAGGCGGGACCAGATAATTCCACCACAGGTTCTCCATGCTGAATCCTCCGCTCTAGCAAGTCAACGTCTGGAGGCTCCCGAGGTCTCATGTGCATGACGAAATCTGCGAAGCGGTATTGGCCAGTCCTGCAAACATGTCCCAGCTCCTGCTTGATTCGTAATACAAGACTAGTGATGACGATCAAATATGTCTGTAAGTTCGGCTGGAAGCCAAAATGGTCGAATGCGCGGAGCGTCATGAGAGTAGCGGGGTAATCCTCGAGAGCCATAAACGTCCGCAGTGCGAGGTGTAGGCATGAAACTGAAATTATATTAGAACGTGCCAGGGGAGCATTCCCGGTGCGCAGAAGATGGCACTGGACCATATCCCGAAACAACTGGCGGGGAGGGACAGCATTATCCGGGCGCTTGTGTTTCCGTGAACGTTTATGACCCCAAAATCTGGATACATGGAAAAGCTTCTTGAAAGTGAGGTCACTGGGTAAGAGGGAAGTAGAGCGGTTGGCCATGATGGCGTGATAAAGCCCAAAGGCCTCGGTGTATTCTCGACGAGCGAGGCTGGAGTGGATAAGCGCGTTGAAAACTGATATATCAGGTGTGACACCCTCTGAGCGCATGCGGTACAACGTGGCCTGAACGGCCGCGGAGTTTTCTGGTTGAATTTCATGCAATGTCTCCAGTATGCCCGCGTAAGGAGCTGCATCAGGGGCAACGCCCTGCTCCATGCAGTCGCTCTCATACTTCTTGAGCCAACGTTCTGCCGTGCTCATTTGCCCCGCACGCATACATGTTGTTACCATGACGCTAACCATATTCGCGGACGCAGAGAGATCAACGTTGCGAGCAGTGACAAAAGCATCGGCCATATCATCCACGATTTCAGTCATAGCTGCTATTTTCAAGCTAATGCTACGACTTGGAAAAAATTGCTCGTGGAGCATTCTCTCGTAAACCGAGACAGCGAGCTTGAAAAGGTCCCTTTCAAGCAAGAAACGGATGAGTCGGTTGAACATGGTCGAGCGGTATACATTGTCGAATTTCGCCACGGAAATCTTGTCATGGATATAGGTCTCTACTTCGTCGGGACCCTTTGCGAGAATGCGACTGTCTATAGAACGCAGAAGACCATTGACGCGGGATCGAAACACGCGTCGAGCGGGTTCCTGGATGTTACTTGAATTACAGTCTCGTATTTTATTGTGTGTGCTTGTCTGGCTTTGAGGACCCGGACTGAGAGAGCATGAAGTGGAACAAAAAAACGAAGTGAGTCTTTGTGGGGTAAAACGTAGCTTCAGGACGCGACGAAAGCTGGATTGAAGCATGAAGAACCGGCCATCAATTGAAAGAGGCTCCTTTTCATAAAAGTGTGACATGACGATGCGTGACAACATTTCAAGCAAGCGCACACTCTTCGGATGACTCTGCACATAAAGACTCAGATTTCCTTTTACCGCCCGTCAGATATTTGACTCCTCAGCCGCTAGGACAATCACCTAATACAATACAGAGCTCACAGCGACCTACGTTCTTTCCCAAACTCCCCTCCTTCCTCTTCTCGCGCAGATGTACACGGTTCCCCTCCAGAATCCGAATGCTGACATTCATAATAACTTGGATTACGTTCTTCTCCAGTGTTTCCTTCGCACTTGACTCCTTGCAGCAGGCTGTTACATTGCCCCTGCCTTCTAACTGCTCTCCCTCACCGCCGCGGCAGGTCACTACTCACGGACATTCACCCAAATATTCACGCGAGAACGAGAACGAGAACGAGAACGATCGCCATCACATTTCAAACTTACATCTTTTTCAGTTTCGACTACCCACCAACCAATCATCTGCTACAACCTTCAAAGCCCACCTATGCTACCTATGGATCGCTCGTGCATTGCCGCTAATTTTCGATGTTCATCTTGCCCCGAGTCTAGTATACCTCGTGCATTTTTCTCGTTGTAGTCCAAGTCTCACACATCCATTTGCAGCACAACGATGCTGACGATGGCTTGATTCGTGATGAAGATTATGTTCCTCATCCATCCAATTCGCAACCGATAGCCACAGGGCAGCTCATGGCTAGAGGGCATGGAAGTCGCCAGTTGTGTGATTGCTTGTAGATCAGCTTCGAGGATATTCCTTGGGTATTGCTCGTCTCATACGTCAAATTCACACTATTGGATTACTGTTGTAGATAACAAATGCATACCGCTACAATATCTCTAGCGTCTTGACCATGTCTAGAATAGAAGAAAGGTCTTTGACTTGTGCAATAATATCATGATCTGACGCAATTCTCTTGTATTCTCCGCCGCGCTGGTGCGCTAGCAAAAATGCGCTAAAAGGCTGCCCAAGACGAGCAGCCAATCGCAAGGCTCGATCGCTCAGTTGCGAATCAACCAACTCCTGTGCTTCAGGGAGCTCTCCGGGCGAATTGTGTAATGGAGAGCCGGGCGCAGACCAATAACCTTCCTCGCTCTCCGTGTCGTCAGCGACGTCAGGCAGCTCTGCCAAGCCGGACGGCTCCGCGAATTCAGGAAGCTCGAGGAGATAACGATTCCACGGACGAACAAGCAAGAATGTCTGCATAGTGGGTCGTGGTGATGAGAACTGAATCAGCTTGTCCCCCGTAGTGATCAGTAGGTCATGAAGTCCGTCGGCCTTGACTTCATATATCTCCTGGTCTTGGGCAAGACTTCGTTTGACTGCTGTAACACGAAATGCGATACAAGGCAGATGAAGTCTGCAGTGTGCGAAGCGAGGAGCGTTCAGGCTGTCAAGCACGGTGTAAAGTTTCAAAACCGAATCTACAGTCATGGCATGTTGGAGCGAGGAGACCGACGACTGAATGTCATCTTCGGACAGAGATGGCAGGGTGTAAGGCGGAGCTTTGTATGAAGTAATGTCGGCCGGTAGACAGCTATTGAATTCGGATAATTGCCCCACCCAATCTAGGGCACTGATATCACCCGACTGAGCTACAACCTCCTGCAAGAGCCTCCCAAGCGCATTTTGCTTCTTCTCGCCATAAATGACAGGTAGTCTGACGCCGAAGATACCAAACAATGAGTATGCAATATCTTCCGGCCACGTGGTGACACGCGCCGACACCCATTGGAGTTTCTCCCGTGCGTCTCTCATCCCCGGACGGAAGGCGACGAGGGCCTGTGCATCTATGCCCGTCGCATCTCCCATCTCCTGCATGATTGCAATGGAATCCTTATGGTTGGGAGAGCGGTCGTCGAGATATAAGGACCAATCCTTCTGATAAAATAAGACAAATTTTGGGGCGAGGAATTCTTGAACTGTCCATCCTCGCGTGTTCCAAGCGCTACTTGCGAGTGCGCCAGGCTGCGACGAAGGTGGAACATCCGACAGGTAAATGATCGTAAGCGCTGAGTGACGATACCAGATAAACATGGAGTTGACCGATTGTTGGACCTCGACGTTGTTAGTCTGGTCGATGCAACAGGTATCAATCCATGCCCATCGATACCCCATATCACGAGCAGTTCTACAGAATGACTGCAACTTCGGGATGCCGCCAACTGGATCCAAGTCATATACCACCTTGCCCTGGATGTCATGCAGCGCCGGCTCAGTCGCTTCCCACCTATGCGATAGCATGACATAACGGAAGTACATCGTCACCACGTCTTTAATGCGCTCCGTTCGAAGATCTGCATGTTTTATTGTGGATGATAAAAGTTCTTTGTACTCTGCGCTCGTTCTGAAGGCACTGATATGTACCTCGCGATTGCTTAAGCGCCCAGTGGAGGTGTCGATTAGACGATGCGGGACATCGTCGAGTTGAGCCTTGATGGTCTTTTGAATAGCACCTTCCACTTCGGATGGACTAACATACTGTTGGCGCAAGCCTGGACAAAGAATCAACAATGTTGAAGGATATGCTATTTGGGCCATACATTGTGTTTGCGTGTCGGGAGCATTGTCCAACTTGGAGAGCATGATATTAAACGCTTCGATGGCTTCATCATATCGGTGTGCGCCATGAAGTACCGCATGCTTCGACTGATATCCGAGGTAAGATGAGGGGTTGAGTTCGATGACCTGCATATCACCAAAATGAGCGTCGGATACGAAACGGTAACTGTCATCCCACCTTTTCTGCGTCGAGGAGTGCATCGTCCCATAGCATTTTTCCCGACCGTGCCTTACTGCGGTTCGCAAAGATGGTTTCGGTTGCAAAATCGAGGTCGATCGCCGTAGAGCAAAGCTCGATAGCCAGGTCATAATTACCAGCAACGAGGGCAGCATCTCCGCTCGCAGCGAGGTCAGTCACTCCGGTGGCAGCATAGAGCACGCTGAAATCTTGCTTGAAAGCTAAGTGAAATGGGGTTGAGAATTATACCTGAGTGACATCACGCCGACTTGCCAGTGGACCAATCAAGGCAGCATGCTTTCGTAGCCTCATCAGCCGTGTCCATCGTATATCGGTATGCTTTAATGGCTTCTGGAAGTCTACCTGCCCGAAGGAGCGCATGGCACCAATTCTGGTGTGCAGTTCGCCACAAGGACTGGAGGTCCCACCCGAATAACTAGAAAAAGCACAGTCGGCCGTGAAAAAATAATTTCCAGTTGCATTGTAATCAACCTACCACCACGAAGACATCATATCTGGAATGGATGGCCGACATAGACGAGAAACCGATAGTATTGACAGCGGAAGTGAAGTGGTCAGTAGCTTCGTTGTGACGCCCGTCGTCTGATGCATTCATTCCCACTTGGACATGTAGATAAGCCTGAAGTGCGAGGTTCGCAAAATCAGCATCGACGCATGAATCTGGAGTTGGCTGTGTCAGGAGTACCCACTTCCACGATACCACAGGCCAGAGAATTCGGATTGGGACGAGTGGTAGCTAGCTCTTGGACGCGCAGAATTGCCTCGTCATGTTGATTTGCATTGAAAAGTGCGACGGCCTAACAGCTGTCGTGTAAGTCGCGAGTACATGAGACACGATTGACGTACCTTGATCAAGAGTAGAAAACGAGTTTTATTCAAGTCTGCGTCCACGTACATGAACGCGAGATCAAATGCTTTCACAGCGTCCTGAAATTGTCTTGTACCGCAGAGGGCGATGCCCTTGCAGATACAGCCCATCAAAGATGGCTGAATGCTGATGCTCTACATCGCCATACAAGATAGCCTGTGTTAAAAAGGTCGCGACGGAACAGTGTATCTCACCTTGAGTGCATCATCAAGTGCGCGGTTCCAGTCCGCTTTTCTCGCCATGACAAACGAGCGATTCGCGTAAGAGTTGTGGTCATTGCTATCGGCGTCGATATCTTGTGTTAACAGCCTGTCAGCAGTAGGCAAGTCACCGGTTATGCATGCATTGCGGGCTGTCGTGTTGATAGTGAGAATCTGCATCACGCATGGTCAGATTATGTGGTAAGAATGAAGGCTGGAAACATGCTTCGCAATCAGACTGTTGAGCCTTGGCATCAAAATTGAGGATCAATATACAAGAACATGGGCAAAGAATGAGAACTCGCATTATCTGCCACTTGTTCTTTCGGGCCATCCTCCCGTAATGCATCCTTAAAGAAAATGAGATGCAGAAGGGGTGGAAAATGAACAGAATCTTACATCTGATGTCTGGGCCTCGGGAATGTCCTACAGCAAAGGTACTGGCCACTTTGAGATCATTTTATCTCTTCCTCCGCTGAGAATGTGTTTGCCATCCATGGAGAAGGTGACACAGTACACGTCATTGGTGTGTTTGAACATGGCAATGGTTCGTCGATCTGAAACTCGCCAAAGGCGAACCTGGTGGTCTTCAGATGCGGACGCGAGAAGTGTGCCAGTAGGGTTCAAGGCAATCATCCAGACATTATCAATATGGCCCTTCCATGGTTCACCGACCTGCTTCCAGGTCGATGAATCCCAGATCCGTATGGCGGGATCGCCATGAATACCAGCCGAGACAAGCTGTTTGCCATCGGGCATCCACACGAGTGTAAAATTCCATGCTCCATTGAACACAGTGTGACCCTCAAAGTTTGCGATGCATTCCCTCTTGCCTGGATTCCATATTTGAATATTTGTCCTTGTTGCGACGGCAAGATGTTCACCAGACGGAGAATACCGAACGCAGGCGATTTGGGCGCGACAACCGATTGGATTTCCTTGCACCTGCCATGTTTTTGTGTTCCAGAGCTCCACTGTAGTATCTGTTGAGCCACTCGCCAGAAATGTGCTATCTGGGGAAAAATCGAGCATGTTGATCTGGCTGGAGTGAACTTTGATGGTTTTGGCGAGCAACTCGCCATCCCTATTCCAGGCGATGAGCTCTCCACTATCATCACCGCTTGCTATGAATTGCCCGTCTCTTGATACTGCGACTCTTCCTATGCTGTAGTGATGCCTCTCCATTATCTTCAATACCGCACCATCTTCTAAATTCCACAGACGAAGCGTCTTGTCGTGCGACACCGTCACCATACGACGTCTATCAGGGAAGACTGCGAGACTCCAAATACCAGCTTTATGACCTTCAAATGTTCGAGTAGCCGTGGCGATTCGAATGGCGGGCTGTTCTGCTTCAGTCATTCTACTCGAGGTGGATGGTGTTGAGCACAACTTTTGGAGAGCTTGTGAGTGTCTTGATATAAGTTTCAGAGGTGCGTGTACCGGGCCTTTTGATGCTTCTTCACAGCCTTAAACTGCTTCGTGTATCATTAGACGCCCGGGAGTCGAGGCCTGAAACCTATGATCATCATGATGACCCACTTCCAGCGCTTTGTAATGCCAAGTGCGACCTTCACCATGAATTCGAATGACCTGCGATTGGCTACCTGCCGCGTAACCAGGAGAAGGGTAAGATATTTTCGTTCCTTCAGTCAGTTTATCTCCTCTTGTTACGGACAGCAATACTAACGTCGCGGGATAGTATATGATGCGACGGTCCGGACGGGCTACGTGGGAAAACGCATCAATGTCGTCACCAACACAGAAGGGAATTATATTGGCATGAATGAAAACAGAAAACCTTGGAGTTCTGCGAGGTTCGGCCACCCTCCCTTCGCGTGAGTTCTGCCGTGAAGCACAACTAGTTTTGCCAGAATTTCAAAACTCCCGAGTT